GATGGATTTCTGGAGATCAAACATCTACAAACAGATGCAACCCCCCACCCCCGTTCAGTACAAGAATGAATGCAGCGAGAGCAACGACAGGGAACGGGTGTTTTAAGTGTTCACAGATGGACCATATGTTAAGAAATGTGCTACAAAAGCAGCTCATTTAGGAAAAGACTGAGGGTCTTTAGAAAAACACTGCTTTGGGAAGTCGTGACACTTCTGGTGCACTGGTCCTGCCTCGTGTTCATCAGTCAAGCATTCAATTTAAATTAAAAACGCTTGCTCCGCTGATGGACTGAGCTCCGGGTGTCCAACTCGAATTGATAAGCAAGAAGTTTCCGATGGGAAAAAGAAAACGAGGGTAATGAAACGGGACAGAGTTGGGAGAGGCAGTTACAGAACAATGGGCAGCGGGAACAAAACCAGGCCGAGAGAAAAAAGATGTCAGGCAGAGTTCAAAATGTGGCCCTGAGGTGCTGTGGCACGAGGCTGACAGTGGCAGAGAGGAGAAGAAACAAGGCCGGGACGCTTCGTGTCCTCAAAGATTCAAACACCAACAGCTGTCACATTCTGAAAGGAGATGACAAACTCTTTACTTCACACCATTTCCCTACGCACAGCGCGGTGTATCTTAAGTATGAAATAAACGTTCCTGTTCAGTCTATAATCAGCAACACCATTAAAATGTTTTAGCAAGCAGATGAAAGTGCTAAATACAATTATTTAACTAAAAGATTTGATTCATTAACTTTAATATCGTTGGTTGTTTAAGAGAAGGTGAAGAGCTTTACATGTAGAAGCTTTGAGATTCTGACAATAAAAACATTCTGATTTCAATTAGTTAAAACTACAAGTTAAGAAAAATATGACATTGAAAAATATGACATATTATGTGTCTGTCGACAAACTATTATACAACCATATAAAGCAATGGCCTGGACAAGCAAAGACCTTGTTTTAACTTTGACCTTGATTTGTGACCTTGAAGGTGTTTCAATGAAAATATTATGGGACACTACATCTAGTGATGATGTCATTTTATGACGTTTTATTATGTTAACTTAAGCGGGTCAGATGTTATGGCCCAGACAAGACAACATTTATAGACGGGTGGTCATGAATCAAGGTCAAAGTTAAAACAAGGTCTTTGCTTGTCTGGGCCATAACTTCTGTGTCGGAAGCTGGTGCTGGTAGAACCCAAAGTGCTGGAAGACACAGGGAAACTGGAAATGGTAAAGAGAGAAATACTATTTATTAATGAAAACAAAAGCTGACGTGGCCACCTCCTGGCTCCACCATTGCACCCGGTGGTGGATAAAATGGCTCCGTCCTCTCTCCAGGACCCATCACACTGTGCTGCCTCGAACAAGCAAAAATAGAAATTACCTCTGTTCTCCTCAGTGTAACCTGCTCGCTTCAGTTTCTTGCACCAAAAACATTAAGGTTTACTTGCATTCTTTGTTCAATCCAGTCCAGAAAAACACTCACCTCTAAAACTACAAACATTCATTACTCAAATCCTTCAGAGTTGGGGGACATTGGCATAGCCCTCGTTAATTTTTATGTCTCCTTTACTCTGCAGGCGAACAAGCTTCGCACAAAAACCCTGAAGAACACCTTGAATCCAGTGTGGAATGAAACGCTGGTGTATCATGGCATCACCGGAGCTGACATGTCCACAAAGACGCTCAGGTAGGGTTCTCAGCTCTGTCTTTCTTTTCTGTCCAGCCATCAACTCCATTTCCCAGGAGACTCTCAGAGTAGAAGATAGAAATCCATACTTCCAGCAGCACTCTGAGCTTCCCAACGGGCTTCTCCAAGCCCTGCGGTTCATTAATAAAGGCAGGCAGCCTGAGCTGACTGCTCCACTTGCTGCTCAGGTGTTAGCTGCTCCACGAGTCTCCACCCCCGATGCCCCATAGTGCTCTGCACATGGAGCGATCGAGGTCAAGCATAGCCATCTTGGCCCAAAAAGCTCCCAGGAACTCGTGTCACCCTGCATGCTGGTTCAGAGATGGAGTTACACGTGCATTTTGTTTGTGGACGTGCGCGCTAAACTCAATCAGTGTCAGTTTACTAAGAGGACTCATAACAGGGTTGGATGTTTGTCCTGGGGAAAGACAAAGCCAGCGTGCACCTACATACGCACTCGCACTCATACAAATGGTTCTCATTCACCCGCTGCACGCACAGAAGCAGGAGGTCAGGCCTGTCCTCTTGAGCGTATGTCAAGGACAATTACTGGCCCCTCCCTCTGTTTGGGGAACAAACACACACACAAAACACGCCAAGTGAACATGTCCCTGAGCAGCACGAGTCTGAGGACAGAAGAAACCCACCTGACCTCCGCTCAAGGACACAGACAGAATCTGGTGTGGAGGCTCTGAGTTGCCAACGACAGAAATAAAAAGATCAAGAGTTGAAGACACATAAACTTGGCTGCCAGGATCAAAAAAGATCCAGAAAGAAAATGTAAATAATTCTGAGCGCTAATAAAGGACAATAACGTGAACTAGCGAGGTCAAAATAAAATCTTGGCATGGAATGAGTCCAAGGGTCCATGAAACAAGGAAAGAGATGAATGAAGTGATAAATGGTGTGATTTACTTAGCTGAATTAAAACGGGGAGGCTTCTGGGAGGTAGCTTAACCAAACAAGAGCCAAAACATGATTGAATGAGGACAGTTAGAGAAATAAAAGGCCGTCACTGAGCCAGAGTGAACGATGCGCTCGCTGACAGCAGGGAGGATGAAGGGAAGCAGCCGTCAGAGTTAGGAGGAAGTGTGCGCTCGAGCTCTTGCCTGATGTTTTCACCACAGAACCTCAGCTCATGAGCTGACTTGTTCTCTGATGGCTCCTCAGAAAGCTACATGAGGAATTAAAGGGCTTCCCCAGAGTAATGGGGGTTACTCTGTGTGATGATGCGCACAGAGCTGCTGGTCTCAACAGATGCAGAGGCGGAGATACTCTCTGATCCCCGTGCTTTGTACACAGAGCTGTAGACCCGCCTGGAAGTTCTGACTTTATTGGACAAGTGTGATATATAGGATATCATCATTGTCATACATTCTTATTTGAATCTTTAATCTTTATTAACTAAGTTCTTAAATTATACGCTTAATACAAAATCATTCAAAACTACGTTTGGGCAGCACGATGGATTAGTGTTTGCCTCACAGCAAGAAAGTCCCCAGTTGGGACCTGAGGTCTTTCTGTGTGGAGTTGGCACGTTTTGCTTGTGTTAGCGTGGGGTTCCTCCCACAGTCCAAAAGTATGCATGTTAGACTGTCTGCAGGTCTCCCATGCAGAAGAGATCCGTGACCTCAGCGGGATTTGCCTGGTTAGATAAAGAAAGGATAATAAATAGTTGATGAAACAGATCCAGCTCCTCTGCTGCAGACTGTCAGACTGCCACCTGATACTAAGCTGATAAAGTGCAGCTGCTTGTATATTTCCTTTTATTTCCAACTTCCAGTTGCGTCCAAGGAACGGTGAGAGTGACTTTTTGTGCTGGTCAGCTAAACAGAAAGCTGAAAGCCAGACTCCGAATGCGATGCAACAGTTTTTGTGATTATTTGTTTATCTTACCATCAGTGGCCTTGTCGACACAACCGTTTAAAAGATTGTTATAAACAATATTTCCACGCAGCTCTGTGACTGTTGGGATGCAGCAAACATGGACAGATTCACATAAATGGACACGAAAATTAGAATTTATTGTAAAGCATAAAGAAGAAGTAGAATTTTTCATAACAATCAGTGTTTTGGACATTTGATGTTTGAAATGAATGAGAATATTTTGCTGCTTCAGCTGCCAGGGTTAAACAGAGGGGGTGGTGGCAGCATTATGTACCCTCTGAAGCTGAGAGATACATGAGTCACTGATTCCTGTATAGAGTGCGTTACAGTAGTCCAGCCAAGTGGTCACAAAGGCATGAACTACTGTTTTGAAATGCCGCTGAGAAAGAATCGGCTTTACCTTAGCTGCCTCAGATGGAAAAAAATAGTTTTAACAACAGCTCTGATGTGATTTTCTAATTTTAGTCCAACATCAACTGTGACCCCCCAAGTTTGTAACAGTTGGCCTGATGTACTGGGCCAAGGAACCAACATCTACATTGGGAGTCTCAGTGGAGCTTCCAAAGACCATCACCTCAGTCTTTCTCTCATTGAACTTTAAGAAGTTCACAGCCATCCAGGCTTTTATGTCCTCCAGACATGAAAACAGAGGGGCCAGAGAGTTACAGTCCTTTTTCTTTAGTGGGACATATATCTGTCTATCGTCTGCGTAACAATGAAAGGAGATCCCATATTTTTTTTTAAATAGAGCCAAGAGGGAGCAGGTACAGCGCGAAGAGGTGGGGGCCTAAGACTGAGCCCTGTGGAACCCCACACAAGAGAGGAGCAGAGGAGGACACGTGGTCACCAAGGCAGACAGAAAGTATGCTCTGCTAAGTAGGACCTAAACCAGTCCAGTGCTGCACCTCTGACACCCCGCCCCCATTGCTTCAAACGACAAAGTAAGATGTTATGGTCCACAGTATCAAAAGCAGCTGATAAATCTAAAATCAAGAAGACAACACAGTCTCCAGAGTCCGTTGCTAAAAATATGTTGTTGAAAACCTTTAAAAACTATGTAAAAACTAATATTTCACTAAAATAAAACCTAAAAACACCCGTCTTAGATGAAGTTTTGTCTGTCAAGTTGAAAGTTGTTTAGTGGAACTTCTGGTGAAAAGATAAACATACTTGTCTTCTAAACAACACAGCATCATCTTCATCATTATCATCATCAGTCCATTTAACGTCACATAATGTGAAGCACTTTTTCTTACAAAAGAAAGAATAATATTCAGTATAACGTAAAACATGAGGAAGCTTATTTATTTGTCAGTTTATGTAATAATTGTGTCATGTGTAACGTTGAGAGAGACAATGGTGGGACATTTATTCATTTATTGAAATAATCTGAATTAAGAATGACTACATAAAAGCGTAGTTCCAAGAAAAAACACAAAAAGAAACAGCATAATAAAAGACAGTCATGAAAAGACTGTAAGTAAAAAAGAGAAAAATAAACATTAAAGCTCAAACAGCAATTTTTATCTCCACTATCCAAAGACTTTAGGCCTGAGAGTGCTTACTTTATCTCTAAGAGCCACTGGAGGTTAATTTTGTTATTAAAAATGAATCGGGCGAGTAAACCAATGAGTAATGTCTTCTATCGCGTCTTCACGCTTGGCCTCATAGCAGCTAATCCTTTAATTGCTGCAGCAGCGCCGCCCGAGGTCTTCTAGTCTTTAGTCAAAAAGTCTTATGAACTAGAATGTACTGAATCATCTTGATGAAATATTTATTCTGTTTATGTGACTTCAATTGTGAAGCCTCGTCCAAAAGAACTCAGAAGTTATTTAGGTTTTTATGAATGACTGCTTATTTTAAGCAAATTTCTAAGAAAATTCAGAGTAAACCTCCTTTATTTCTGCTTTAGGACAAATTTCTGATCATTCTGAAAACAAAAATTATCCTGACGATGTGATGGCTCTGACTGCTTCCTCGTATTAACAATCTCATGTTTTACCTAATGCACAAAAATGTGCCGCTAATGCACACTTTGGAGAGTAGCCACCGGGAAGAGTTAGAGTTCTTGTGAGTCACAGTGTATCACTAAAACAACTATCAGGCTGCCAAATAACTGCAGAGAGATGGAGCTTGTGGGGGAGTTGTGATGAGAGACGCGTATCAAGAAAACCAGCGTTTTTATCTGAATGTGTGAATGGAGAACAAATATGATGTCAGTACCAGATCTGGTCTACTTTCACTCCATCGTTCCACTCTGTCTCCTCAGCCACATGTCTGGCTTCGTAATAGGCTCGGCCGTCCTTGGGTGGGTGAAACGGGAACAAGTCTTGGATGTGAGTTAGGGTTGTATGGAGGGAAAGGCTCGTTAGACACCTGCCGCCTTGAAGTGGAATCGAGAATTAGTATGTTTGGAAATGGGGAGGATATTTGGCTGAGAAGTCAGATAGTCTGAGAGGTAACGACCTCCATTGGGTGGAAATATCGATCCATCCATCCATCCACGATCTTTAACCGCATTTTCCTTTTTGGGTTGCGAGCAGGGGGGGCGGGGGGTGTCACCGGTGCCCATATCCAGCTGTTACTGTGCAAGAGACGAGGTACACCGTGGACAAGTCTCAAGTCCATTGGTGAAAATATTTAATTTCAAAATATACTTCATACCTCCAGTTTGACTCAACATAATGAACATTATGTTCTTACCTAAGTAACAGGAGGTTCTGTGTTAGGTTTGGAAATAAGTGTATCTGCATCAGGGCCTCTTTCCTGTGAGGTCCCACAGGGCTCGATTCTTGGAACCCTTTTGTTTTCACTATCTACTCCCTTTGGGGTCTATCCTGAGGAAACATGATTTTTCATTTCATGCTGATGATTGTCAGATTTATCTGCTCTTAAAACTGGCTGCTTAGGGCCCTAGCACCACTAGGGGGGGGGGGTGCTAAGTGGAATTATTATTATTTTTTTTTTATATTGATTTCGATATGATTCTTGTTAGAAAGCCCACATAGTTTTTATGTGGTTAGTTTGCTTGCTGAGCTAAGTTCTGTTTGACTGTAGCTTTGTTTTTGTTTTTTTCGGAATATCATGATTCCTACATTTTGAATGCACCGTGA